GAAAGAGGAAAGCAAAAATATGAGAAAAAATATGGTCACATATTTTTTCAAGATAGAAGAGATATAATGAATTAAAATTATAAAGGGATTGTGAAGATAGGTTTCTGGTAAAGATTTAAGTAGCATGGTGGTTAAGGCACTGGACTCCCACTTGGCTGACAACAGTTCAAGTTCTGGACCCAGTGGCTTGAAATTCACACTAGGTGCTTGCGCATGTGTGCCCAAAATTCCAAGAGGGAATAGAGGAGAAGGGATTGTGACATTGTCGTTACCCCCTGGTGGATGATTTCTTACTTTTCCTCTTTCTGTCTCTCTGTATCCTGTGAGCACATGCCCCCATGGCAAAAACTTTAAAAAAAATTATTTCAAAAGCTATAGTATTGTTTTCTACAAAAATTGAGATAAAGGTATTCAGTTAGAGATCATTGGATTTATAGTCCATGATTTTCAATCACTAGGAGAAAAAGGGTAACCAATGACTATGAACACAGTAGTATCATAGTTTGGGTGATAAACTGAATTATTTTGCCATATTATGTAACCTGTAATTCCATTTAGGGGAATGGATTGTGCTCCCAAAATTAATATGTTGAAGTCATGATGCCCTCAGGACAGCTGAATGACTGTGTTTGAACTTCTAAAGAGGAAAGTTTTAACAAGGCCATTAGGGCAACTAACCCAAGGTGACTAGCGTCCTTATTAAAAGTGAAAACCATGGTACTGGCATGTGAAGACAAAGGGAGAAAACTAACATGTACAAGCCACACACTCAGGTCTCTGAAGAAACCTGATCTTTGGACTCTTTCATCTGAGTCTTCTAGTCCCCCCAAGTAGTGAGGAAATTTGTTTGTTTTAAACTGCCCAGGGCTGGCCCTTTGTTGTGGCAACCTCAGCACCGGTCACAGATTCAGACTCATATAGTCATCTGACTAGGGGTACTCCCAGTTTTTGAGAGGGAAGATAAAGTGAAAAGGTGTGAGGTTCAGAAGACAGGAAAAAGGCTTGCAATTGTTTTTGAGAATGAAGAATGATTTGTTTAGCAAAATACAGAGTTGTCAGACATTATGGAAGTCACCAGGAGTAATGATTCTGTCTTTAGACAAAGTAACCATCTTAGCCCTGTGCATGCAGATGCAGTCATAGAGGAGACAGGAACAGAATCACCTGTTACTGGGATCTTCAGGAGCAGATGTGCGAATAGTCCAAGGGATAAGAAAAAAGTCATTCTTGATGAGTGTGTGTTGTGTTAAAATGAATAGTAATTTATTTAATTTGTCAATGGAAAAGAAATGCTACTTGGGATGTGGAATCAGTATACTGGAGGTCTAGGAATGGTAGGGGACGTGGGTATATATAGTATAAGAAGGGAAAGACATTGCAGTGTTGAAGTTCTATTTATTACTTAGAGGTGCTAATCCCAAGGAAACTTAGATTTGGCATGTAACACTTAAAAATTTTGAGCACAGGGGACAAACCAGCATGAAAATCATAGCTGTGACTAGCTGTGTAAATTATTATTTTATTAATGTTTTCTGATCCTCTGTTTATGTCATTTATTAAATTGGTAAATAACTGTCAATCAGTATCAACGTATTTATTGTGCAGATTAAGTGAGTATCTGTAATTAGTAAACACAAATTGACATTTAATGCAAATTACATTTTTTTGAATTTCAGGTATAAATGGGTAAGTTAATTCTACTTTTGTTTATGATATATTATTATCATTTGTCCATGAAGTATGTGTAATTATTAATATTTCAAGGGGGAAATTACAATTTATTTATGAAAATCTTGCTTTACATTCACATGGGTGTGATTAAAAACAGGGCTAAAGTCACTAAAGATAGAAAGCAAGAAATCACCCCCCCAGGGAAGATGGCTACACTGCAATCCCCTCTCTCTCATACTCCTCTTGGGATCTTGGGCACACATGCCGGGCGTTAGTTTAAGCCACCGGGTCCAGGACTTGAACCACGGTCGGCTACATGGGAGTTCAGCGACATAGCCATTACGCTAACTGCTGGTCCCTCTGAGCATCCTTGACCTAAGAATTGTATCAGTACAGAACAGTAACATGACCCACGTACTCTTGCTCCTTTCTGACACAAAGGATTTTAAGGAATTTAATTGACAGAGTGAGTGCCACTGGTCCCTCCAAATGGAAGATGTTTCTGAAGTGATGATTTTCATAATAAAACAGATTCTTACTTGATTGATACCCATTTCCATGAAAGAAAGATCTAAAGATCAGAAGTTGCATGAGATCAGAAAAGAAACTCCAGACAGCTATGATGTATGTCGGAGGATCATCACTAGCAAATAAAGCAATAATAATGAAATCTCAGAAATTTCTGTTATTACATTTAGATGGAAACCCAAATCCACATGTGGAATGAGTCAGGGGTCTCTGTGTGGAACCTGGGAAGGAATATAGTAACTCTGGATACCCACAGGATGTTTTTCCTGGTCTTGTCCATAGGCATTTGTATTTCTATGTTTATTTTATTTATTTGTTTGTTGTAGAGGTTTTTGCCTTTAGGTCATGTACGCTTGAGGGTGAGAGGGATAAGGGACACTGAGAGGGAAAGTGAAAAATCACCCCCAGGGGGGATGGCCATACCACAGTCCCTTCTCCCAGGATCTTAGGCACAGACACACAGATGCCCAGCTGTCATGTGTAGAAAACTCATCAATAATCCCTGTCCTTCCTAGTATGACCACTAATTTATTGCTTCCATTATGCTTATGCATTTTCAGAAGAGAGTGCTATTTTTTTCCTCTCTCATGTAGTCCATGGCCTCAGGAGAAGAGTTGATCATGCTATTATGTGTAACGGGTTTAGGGTTGAGGTGAGTTTGGCAGTAGGGTTGAGGGAGGCTTGGAACACTGCAGCCAAGTAGGAAGACAGCTCTTTTGGGAGGTGATTCAGCCAGTCCAGTGTAGTCTTGCACTGAGTCAGTCCTACGTGGTGTTGAGAAAGAATGACAGTGCTAGGCCATGGAACATATAAGGACTCATTCATTTACATATTTTTCAATTTTAAACTTTTTCATATTTGATCAAATATATTTGAACTTTTGTAAACTTCTAAAAAGATAACTAAAATTATCATTATTCTTATTCCCAATTACTCTATCTTCTAGTAATTAGTAACTTATTCTCTTTTTTTTTAAGAGACTATTGCTGTAGGGCACATATGCTTGCTGGAGCAACAGAGAGAGACAGAAAGTGAGACATCACCCCTTAGGGGGGATGGCCATACCACAATCTCTTCTATTCTCCTCTTGGGATTTTGGGCACACATGCCCAGCGTGAATTTTAAGCAACTGGATCTGGGCTCCAAACCACAGTCACCTACGTGGGAGGCCAGCTACGTAACCATTACGCCATCTGCTGGTCCCTAGTCTTATTTTTTTTTTAATTGCTGGAATGCATACTCATCAGAGAGAAAAAAATGTTTTTCAAGCTGCCAGGACCAGGATTTGAACTGCAGGTGGCCATGTGGGGATCCAACTCCCTTAACTGCTGCACTGTAGGGCCACCCTCATTTATTCACATTTTATAACTAGGAATAATGTACTGAAAGTATTAACTTGATTGTGGTTAAGCAATTAAGAGTAGTAGGAGAATTGAGTATAGATAAGGTGAAATTGAAGTCCTTGGAAAATTTTCAAAAACTAAATAGACAAGTCCAATTAAGAGGCTGCTATAATACTTAAACAGAGACAGAATAAAGTTGTAAGAAAGATAGTAACTAGAGTTTAAGTCTTTTTTTTTTTTTTTTTTTTGGGGGGGTATCACCCTAAGGGGGGGGAGAGTCCC